TTTGCGAAGAAAAGGAGCTGAACACCTTTTGCAGAGAACACCTTTGTATATTTTTAATGCTTACTGGGTTATATCCTATCTTCTTTTGTCTCTCATTCTTTTGCATATTTTGGAGTTTGACAGCTGAACTCCGCCATTTAATTTGCATATGCAACCAAAGTCAGACGCGTGATTTTGAAGGTGTTTTTATTTAATGAATTGTGATGAATTGGTTAATATTAAAGTCGTAAAGCAAGTTATAACAAATCAAGTAAAGTGTAAAGTGAAGGGGAATACAAAAATATATTGGTAAAGTGGCTAATTTAAGCAGAATAGGAGTGATAAATGTACGCTAATTTCCGAATTTTACAAAAAAGGGCATGTTTCAAAGCCAATTTGTAAATAAATTAGTAACCAAAATTTACAAAAGTGAGTGTTAAAATGTTGCGTCGACCCTTGACTACAAGTGTGTGAATTTTTTTCTTGGATCGGGCCACCCATTTGGACGGAATAGCCCGAAATAGTTGTGAGCGGTACTAAACCCCACCCAATTAATGTACTATATGAACTTTTTTTTCAAATATTTCTTAAGTTTCTTTCATGAGTGCTGAAAAGCAACCATGCGTGTAAGAAATTGTGTGCTACCTAAAATTTCACCTCTGGAAACTTTATCTCCATAAAGGACTTCACCACAGTTTTTTTACTGGATATACTGAGCTGGCGATACTCAAAACAAGAAATATTAGAGCTGTAGCAAACCGTATGTATTCGTTACTGAGTATCGGGTACAACAGCTGACTCGAAGTACCGAATCGTTACTCACATAATAATCTCGTTACTCGCATGTTCCGTATATGCACCATTAGCGTATATGACAGTTTGCAAATGAACGTTTACTTTTCATCACATGCAAGGCGAATAATATGTATGAGGTATGTTCAACGAGTGCACTAAGAGGTAAGAAAACCCTTCATCGAACGCTTTTTCCTACACTGGGGTACTCTAGTGAACTCAACGAACAAATCAACGCTGGCGGCGGCCATCGTTTTTGGGCTAGGCGGCAAACCGAGAGTTTGGCATTCACTTTCCCGCTCGAGTTCAATTGGTGACATACGTCTGTGAAAAATTATATTTCTGCAAAGTTTTCTACGCAGCGGTAAATTCACTTATAAATTTGGAGACGACACCGTGTCGAAGATAAACTGTTTGACTACTATAATGGAATTTAAGATACAAATTCGCAATTTACGCCAATTCCTGCCAAAGGACCATGTGCAGGATTTCGCTAAAATAGATTCACAAAAAATCTTAAATACCATGAACTTAGTCTGTAGCCCAGGAACACTAAAGACTTTCGGTGCACTAAAAAAACTGCGTCTCAACCAAACGAACGAGGCCGATGGCGTTAGAAAGAAAAAACATGAATTGCAGCAGTTGCAGTTGCAGGCGCAGTGCCATATGTAAAGAAAATTTTGAAGATTAAATTGGTATTGAATTGTATACATATATATTTATATTTTTGTCGTAGATTACGCACACGTTTGGAGCGATTTAATCGGCAGCAAGAATATCAAAATAAATTGGATGATTTTCATGCGAATAAAAATTAAAGAGCAAAAAACAACTTTTCCACTTGCTAAAATGCAGCGCATCGAAGAGCAAGGTTGCTCCTAAAGAAGCCCTTCGTGAGCGCTGCTTTCTAATGACACACGATGTTGAAATACAATGAACTGTGAAATTAGGAACGGAGCAGTTACTGCTGATTATGGAGCGCTCCAATAGCACTAATGGGGCGCCTCTAGTCCCGTTGGGCATATTCACACATGTACATATATACAAAAAAACGCGATAAATGTAATTTTTTATTTTTCCAATTTCGTTTTTGTAAACCCTTTGATGGTTTTATTAAGTGCATATAGTAGTTATCAATATGTTTTTTTCTTATCTATGTGGTATACATATAAGTTATATACTGTTACTCAAAAAATTGAGCGTACGGCTCTTTTTTGTTAATATTCGCAATGTTTTACATGCTAAAATTTTTTCGTTAATTTTGTATTAAAATATGGCTTACATTTTAGCAATCCCCATTTAAATCCATGAATGAAACCGTTTACGAAAATTAATAAAAAATCTGCAGTCACAAACTTTTTAATACGAGTTTCTAAAAAAAAAACAATCAGGTATGCAGTTTTATAGCCCATTAAATTTTAGTATAATAATGTGTAAATTTCAAATGTCTAAAAATTCGCACACAATTTTTTCACATAAAAACAAAAAATTTTAAAATTCTTTACGTGGAAAAAATGCGTAGGACAGTCAACAAAAAAATTCTCAAAAATCAACGCGATTTCTTAGGCATTTGAAGTTTACACATTATTATACAAAAATTTAATGGACTATAAAACTGCATACCTGATTGTTTTTTTTTAGAAATTCGTATTAAAAAGTTTGTGACTTTGCAGATTTTTTATTAATTCTCGTAAACAGTTTCATTCATGGATTTAAATGGGGAGTGCTAAAATATAAGCCATATTTTAATACAATATTAACGAAAAAATTTTAGCATATAAAACATTGCGAATATTAACAAACAAGAGCCGTACGCTCAGTTTTTTGAGTAACAGTAGATACTTACGTACATACATGGTTATACATACATAAATTAATATTTTTTCAAAAGGAAAATATCTTATGTCACTCAAAATGATATTTATTTTCAGAGCAATATGAGAAATTTCAAACTGTATTTTTTACTTTGCTTTTTTACTGCTCCCTACTTGCTCGTTTGGGAGCAGCTCACTTTTAGTCTCGTTGGTTTTATACATGCAACACACTTTTTGTAACGAATCGTTACTGGCGATAAGAACAAATACAAAATTGCGGTAACCAATACATACGGTTTGTGTGGTAGAGAGAGCGAATTTAAAAGTGCGGTACCGAATACATATGGTTTGCTATGCGATTCAACAACGAGAGCATCCTCATCGTTCTCTCTGAATTTGCTCTCTCTACCACACAAACCATATCGTATAGCAAACCGTATGTATTCGTTACCGCAATTTTGTATTTGTCGAGTCGACAGTAACGATTCGTTACAAAAGTGAGTTGCGTGTATATGCACATCCATACATATGTACACATATTGATATTTTTCGCAAGGTACGTAAGTAAATTGGCAACAAAGTTACTATGCGACTTTACATTTATGTAGCATAAAAACTATAAAGTTTATCGTCTAAAAACTAGTATTTTGACTATGTTTTTCAGGAGTTGGAACAAGATGCATCGTTTTATGTTATAATCTTAAGTAGGTTGTATTAAATAAAATTATATACCCTTTTAACTAATTTCAAATTTAATTTATAGTAAATACAAATAATGGATAAAAAGAGGAGCCGAATGTGGAACTTTTTCACACCCGTAAACGATGGAAAGGCGAAATGCGATATATGCAAATCGCTTTATTCAGTAAAAGGCGGCTCCACAACAAATTTAAAAAAAAAAACACTTGGTAAAAAAACATCCTTCATCTTACGAAAACATAATATCATCCTTCGTGTCAGACACAACAACAGTAGTTCAAGGGGATCCTCCACCATTAACGTCATCAGATACAACAACAGTAGTTCAGGAAGATCTTGCACCATCAACGTCTTCAGATATTCCAATCTACATCTATACTCTATACTAATTATATAAAGAGAAGTCCCTTTTTTTGTAACAGGTAATCTCGTGAACGGCTGGTCCGATTTTCATGCAATTTTGTATATAAATAGCTTTCGGTAACCACCATGTTTTAGGCTAAAAAAATTTTACTTTTTTCGTGTAGGTGGACCAGGGACCGTTCTATTCGAAAAAATCTTATTATGGTCCGATTTGCTTAAAATTTGGTACGTAAGTAGCTTTTTAGCATATATTAGCATATATGATCCATTTTTTCCGGGAAGTGGTCCAGGGACTGATCTATTCGAAAAAAGCGCATTTATGGTCCGATTTGTTTAAATTTGGTACGTAAGTAGCTTTTTAGCATATAAGCTCCATTTTTTCCGAGAAGTGGACCAGGGACCGATCTATTCGAAACAATCTTATTATGGTCCGATTTGTTTAAATTTGGTACGTAAGTAGCTTTTTAGCATATAAGCTCCATTTTTTCCGAGAAGTGGACCAGGGACCGATCTATTCGAAACAATCTTATTATGGTCCAATTTGCTTAAAATTTGGTACGTAAGTAGCTTTTTAGGATATATGATCCATTTTTTCCGAGAAGTGGACCAGGGACCGATCTATTCGAA